TTCCCCTTCCCCCTTGTTCCCACGTGCCCCCCCCCCCCCATCCCCCACTCCCCCCCCCCCCCCCCCCCCCCAAAACGTTCGGCTCCCCCCACCAGTTCCCCTGAAGAAACCCCAGTCCCCCACCCAATCGCTTTGGGGATTCCCCCGTTCCAACGGGGCCCCGAGGGGGCCCCCATATATTCCCATAAAGGAAAAAGGGTTAAAAAAAAAAAAAAGGGGGGGGGGGGGGGGCATTCCAGTTAACATTTCCAATGTTATCGATGACGCGAAGGAAGTGGGATGTTACCGGTCTGCGCGAGTCGAGGAAAAAAAGGGGCGATGATGATGATTGCGATCGCTCGGACATGCGGAAATCAGAGATATGCATGTTTGTTCGATGGGAGATTGTCATGGGAGATTGTCATGGGAGATTGGTCTTGGGGATCGTGGGATGGCGGAGTTAGGTTGGGTTTTGGGCTAGGTGGGTGGGTGGGTTGGGTTGGGGAGTGGAGTGGAGAATTTGTGTGAGGAAGGGGAAGGGTATGGAGGGTGGGATGAAATGGGGTTTTTGTGGTGGCATGTCATATGACCATGGGTTTAGCGTCGGGCGACTTGGGCTTTACTCTAAGTGGTTAGAATATCCCTGTAGGTTCAAGTCTACATTACAGCGGCAAATTTTTATAGTTATATAAACTAGCCTATAGTTAAGTATAAATTAGGGTAATTTAAGCAAGTAAATATAGTTTTTATTACTATCTTTTTTAAATATATTCTAAACCTATTCTTAATAATATATAGGCGTTCCTAAATACTATACTAGAGTTTAGTATAGTAGTACTAGATAATATATCTAAACTAGATAGTAATATTAGAGATAAATTTAGGTAACTATATAAAGTACTAGAGGAGAATAGTAGTAGTAGTGTTAAGGAAGTAAGTAAAAGTAAATAGAATAAGTTTAGAATAGGTTTATAACACATTATAGGGGTATAATATATACCTTACTTATAGTAATAGTTAAGGACTACTACTTATACTAGTAATTATTAAGTATATAGCTATTCTCCTAGTATACCCTTAATTATATAGCTAAGGGTATAGGTATATAATACTAGTTTAGTAATATAAAGATAGCTCTTACCTAATAAGAGAAGAGGTGCTTATATAGGCTATATAGGTAACATGTTAAGAATATATTCTTAAATTATTCTAATTCTAGCAGGTATAATACTCCTACTAGTCTATCTATCTTAACAGGCCTATAACTTTACTATTCTTTAATAGCTAGCTAGCAAGCTAGTATAAATACTAATACTCTAGGGTAAAAGTATATAAGTATCTTAAGAATATATTATAAACGTGTTCTTATTATATTATTAATAACGCATTATATAATTAGATCTAAACCTTAAAAAGTGTAGTACCTAAGAAAATTTTATAAAGAGAACTATAAATAAGAAGCTATTATTATAGCCTTATTAAGCGCTTCTCTTTAAGGATTTATAAGGACTACTAGGTGTCTTATTATCCTATAATAAGGACTATAGTAAATTAGGTAGGGAGCAAAACTTAAACATGTTTAAAATGTGTTAATAATAAGTTAGTAAATTATAGAATAGGCTTAACTATATATTAGCTATTAGAACTATAGCCTAATATCTACTACTAGGAAAAAATATTATTTTAGTTAGGTACTACTAGAGGTAGACTCTATATATCTATAAGGTCTTCTAACTAGGGAGATATTAAATCTTTCTAGTAGTCCTGCTTTATATTCTATAGTTAAGCTATAGTTAAGCTAGATAAAGAAGTGTAGTAGGTATATTACAACCTATTCCTAATATATTCCTAATATATTCTAGGTATTAATTATCTATAAGGGCAAGGATCTCTATTTAAAATCCTATATAAAGTTACCTTCTAAGTAATTATACTAATAGATATAGTAGTAATACCTTTTTTTACTATTATTTCTTTTAGTATATATATATATATACCTCCTCCTCCCTTAACACTATCTAATAGTAATATTAAGGAAGTAGTAAAGGTATTATAGCCTATGCTTACTCTATAGCTTATATAATATAAGTTATTTATAACCTGTTATAAATATATTCCTAACTTATTATAGCCTAGTTCCTAAACTTAACCTAGCTCTAAACCTATCTCTAACTTAAAGGTTTCTATTCTATTAAAGAAATATATATTAGCTTTATAAATAAAGATAAAATCTTACGTATTATAAAGCGTAAAAAGCTTCTATAGTTCCTATTTAAGAGTAGCCTTAGAGGAGTATATTATAAGTAGAGGATAAAGTATTAGGATCCTAAAACTATATATAGTGTAAGAGAATAGGTTTAGAATACGTTACTAACACGTTACTATAGGCGTATATATAGCAAATCTTTATATTAAGCTTAGGTAACTTAATTATTTACCTTTTTAAAGAGTAGGTATTAATTCTATTAGATTAAGACATGTTCTAGATAGATATATTATATAAGAGGTTATATAGGGTATAGGCAGAGATTCTAATAGTAATCTTCTACCTATAGGAAAAGAAGTGTATATATTAAGAATAGGTTTATAACATGTTTCTAATATATTATAGTTATTATACTTAGCTAAATTATTATAGATAAGGATATAACTAAGATATATTTAAGTTACTATTACTAACTTCTTTTAGAAGTGTAAAGTACTTATAAAAAGATAAGTGTTATAGAGGTATATTTACTTATAGGGATTCTATAGGACTACTATTAATATATATAATAAGTAAATAATAGGTAAGTTTTATAGCACACTATAACCTATTTATAACGTGTTTCTAACTTATTTCTAGGACTTAGGCACTATCTCTAGTTAATTAATCCCTATAAGCGTAACTAGCGCTAGCAACTTTAATCTTATATAAGATTTTGTTAAGTATATCTATAAAGAAGTATTTATAAAGCATATAAAAGAGAGCTAGATAATACTACCTCTTTATATCTAAGTAAATTACTATAGGTATTAATAGTAGAGGAATACTTTTAGCTTGCTAACCTCCTCTTACGTAAGTAAATATATTCTAAACCTATTCTAAATATATTCCTAACTTATTCTTATATAATTAGAACACAAACCCTCTAAAGATACCTAAAACTAGGTAATCTATAAGAAAAACCTAGTAATTACTACTAGGATTATATAATACTATAGTAAAATATTAAAAGAGGTATAGAAAAAACTAGAATCTTATTTAAATATAGCTAAGCAAGCAGGCTAGAAAGGATATAAAACTAGTAAGTATATAAGTATTCTTAAGGCTACTTAGAAGTAAGTTTATAACCTATTCTTAACCTATTAGAATTATATAAGTAATATTATATAGTGTATACTAGATAGATCTATAGGATATAAAAGAGTTTAAAGCCTAGAGCAAGTTTAGAATACGCTATAACTATAGAACTCCTAATAGGCTTAAGTAAAGGTACCTTAAAAAGCTTTAAAGGGGAGAAAGTAAGTCTTACACTAGTATTATATATATTTACTAATTAAAACATGTTTAGAATATATTTAGAACGCGTCCTATAATAATAATAATACTCTAGATAATAATAAAGTAAGTCTTGCTATATCTAACTTAACTAGATATATCTTAGTCCTAATAAGAAATAAAAGAGCACGCTTAAAAGCCTAAAGCTAGAGGGCAAGTAGTAGAGTAGTATTAGAAAGAAGTTTACTAGCCCCTTTTCTATCTTCTCTACTACTAGGCTCTTCTCCTCTACTAATAGTAACCTAAAGGTATGCTTTATAAAATATATTTATAACACGTTCCTAACTTATTATTAGTCTATAACTATAAACTTTATAATAAAAGGCTCTTCTTAGTAATTAGGCTCTAAAGAAGAGAAAAGAAAAGCTAGAGATAGATAAGGAAGAACTTATATAGAAAAAGGCACTATTTAAATTATAAAAGGCACAGTTTAAACTTAAGAAAGAGATAGCTACTTTTTATATAAGGTAGGGTTAGTCTATAAATATAGTAACTAGTTCCTAACTAGTTCTTAATATATTCTAGTCTATTATATAAGTATATATAAGTAGATAAATATATATTCTTTCTTCTTCTCTTTCTTCTTCTTTCTTCTTACACTCTATAAGAACTTTTTATATTTAAGAGTTTAATACTATTTTACTATCTATCTTTCCTAATATTATTAGATATAACTAGTTAATATAGTCTATAAAGATCTTTTAAAGTTAGTATATAATAGAACGTATTAGGAACACGTTATAAACTTATTCTAATACTAAGTAGGATTTATACTAGTAATATATTAAGCTTAAGTTACTTCTATCTAATACTAGGGTATTCTCTCCTATAATATCCTACCTAAATAATAGGTATATAGTATTTCCTAGCAAGCTTTTCTACTAGGCTATTTAGGCTAGATTAGGGGTATAGGAACTTTGTAGAGTATATATATATGCAAGTTAGAACACGTTTATAATATATTAATAACTATTTTAGTGTTGCTTCTCTAATAGAGGCAATCTTATCTACTACCTTAAGAGGTATTATCCTAAGGTTTAAATAGCCCTAGTAAACTATAGTAGAACTATAATACAAGGTATTACAGAAGCAAGGATCTTCTATAGAAGCTTAATAGTAAATACTTAAGAACGTGTTCTAAATATGTTAATAATACGTTCTCTGCTAGTAGAGTAGACTACACTAAGTGCCTCCTCTAAGGTTTAAGAACCCTCTAAGATAGCTAGTCTATAATAAGAAGTGGTAGCTAGAGTAGAGGCTAAAGAGGAAGTAGAGAGTAAAGAAGAGGAGTAAATAGTTACTCCCCTTTACACTATAAATAATATTTAGCAAAAGTAGTAAAAAGGAGATATAAGTCTAGTCTCTTAAAATATATTTAGAATATATTAATAATATATTATAGCTAGATACCTATAAATACTAGATGCTTCTTTAATCTAAGGGACTGCTAGAGCTTTATAATACCTATAAAAGTAAAAAGAAAAAGTTATATAGTATTAAAGGACCCTATAAAAGTAAATAGTACTTTACTTTTAGTAGATAGAAAAAAAAAGAGAAGAGTAGAGAGTTTATTTTAGTAATTACTACTACCCCTTTAGGTTATATACTATTATATATTATTTATTAGAACTTATTCTTAATATATTCTTAACGTGTTCCTACTTATTACTATTATTATCTCCCTCCCCCTCTCTAGTATCTTCTCTATCCTCCCTATCCTCCCTAGGCTCTATAAAAGCATACTATAAGTAGAACTAGGCAGTATTCTAGCAGGAATTAGTAAGGTCTATACTAGTATTAAAGTAATAGTCTTAAAATATATTAGGAATAGGTTAATAATATATTATAAATAACTTACTATAGCTAGGATAATTATAAGTATAGATAGTATAAGGAACCTAATAACCTTAAATCCTTAATAAG